AATCTTCTGTGTCCTCCAGCTTTACCCCATCACATAGTCCCAAAGACCATATCAGGACCTCACTTCCAGGTACCAAAATGTGTTCCAGTTATGTACAATAGTTTATTTCCTGGTTAACAACTCCCTCAAGAATCCTTATATTGCATGGCACAGTGTTGACATGTAACCTACTCATATCACCCAGTTTACTTTAAATCAACTCTAGAATACGTACCATGCCTAATACAAACTAAGTCCTATGTAAATATTCATTATATTGTATTGTTTAGGGAATGAGATAAAGACACCTAAGTCTATATAGGTACAGTAAAAAGCCAACTGTTTTTCTGAATATTTTTGATCTGGAGTTTATTGAATAAGCAGATATGTAACCTGTGGATATGAAGACTGACTATGAATGTCATTTAAAGCCACTGTTTTGAGGAAGTTGTTAACCAGGAAATAAATCAGGCCTAAATGTAAGAACTAAAAATAAAAAACTTTCAGAAGAAAATACAAATGAAAATGTTTGTGACCACAATAAGATTTTATACAAATTTAGAACATTTGCTGCACAAAAGACACCGCTGAGAAAAACTTTTTTTTTGGAAATACTTGTTTTTAAAGGGCAAACTCCCATCTTTTTATATAGCTCTTTACATCTTGATACAGCACAATGTCTTTTTTTGGCACAGTACACCTTATTTATACTGTACAGTAATATTTGCTGATTGTATTGTACAGTACAGTACTGTAGTTTTGTGTTGTTATATATTACAGCACTGCATGTAAGAGTTATGCAAATAAAAACAAAGTCACCAAGTTTGACTTTTCTTTGACCATTTCTTTGTTCTGAATATTGTAATGTACATACTATATACAATTCTTCATTTAGTAACCAATTCATTTAATGACCTAGTTGCAGAAGAGAACTCAGTCCTTAAACCGGATACCTCAATTCACTTTGCATGTTATCTTACAAGATTCTGTTCTGAAGTTCTTTCACATTTGCTGACATTTACATATAATTATACATTGTTTTATACATATTATATACTAAATGTTATATGGGAAATATGCAGTCATTCAACATTTCAAACATGTCTAAGTGTACTGATTCAAAAATATCAACTAGTACAAGTAAAAGGACAGCTTTAGGTATTAACAAAAAGCTTAAAATAAGGCATTTTAGAAGAAATAAGAGAACATGTGCTATCTCCTGAGCAACCAGCATAACAAATACACTGCAGACCAACATAAAAAATGCAGAAGTAGAAATGCCTCCGATAAAACAATTTCAAGTGCTACAAAGTCATTAACAAGATGACCTAAAGAAATATAAGAAATAAAAAAATAGCTGAACACATAAAGACTAGACAGTGAAAAAAATCAGGAACCACCTTTCCCGGAATCAAAGAAAAAGCCCTATCCATGTATAATATAAAGACCTTCAATATAAATCATCAAATCATACAAAGTGTTTCCTGAAAGCATGTAGTGGCTAGTTTTGTGATTTAAAAAACAGCTATAGTCACATGGCTGTAAACATAATCTAGTATGACAATTATTTTCTATCAGCAGGTGTTAACTGATTGTGTAATAAACTCACTGTTCTTTCCTGCCTCACTGTCCACTTCCCTGTTGGTGTTTCTTGAGATCACACCCAGGCTATTATTACTTTGTCTCAACTTCCATTATTGCTATTAAAAAACAATCTGGGACTACTACAGCTGTCCTTTCTAGAAAGGTAATTTCTTCTCTTCATCTGCTATCGTGATCTTTATTTGACTGCAAGGATTTATCATTTTACTATGCTGGGGATACAATATGCATTTCATGGCTTTATTTATCCCTACCTGGAAATCATTGTCCTTCTTGTATATACAGATTATGATTGATCAATTCTGGAAAATTCTCAACCATTATCTCTTAAATTATCCTCTATCTGAGTGATGGCGAACCTTTTAGAGACGAGAGCCCAAACTGCAACCCAAAACTCACTTGTTTATCTCAAAGTGCCAACACTGCAGTTAAACCTGAAAGCTGAGGTTTTAGTTTAGAAAAAACAACTCCTACATCACATCATTTGTCTTAAAAACAAGTAACATATGTGCCACAGGTTTCCACCACTGCTCTATTCCATTCTTTCTTCTATACTGTCAGTAGACCAATTAAACATATATAGAACTTTACTTTGTGCTCCTTACTAACATACTCTTTCAAACTTTCTTTTTATCACCTACATTTTGGATTTTTCAGTATATATTTCATTTCACAAGTTCTCTCTTCACCTGTGTCTTATGCTGCTAGACCCATTTATTAAGTTTCCAGTTTTGGGCAAAAAGGAAAAACAGGGACTAGAGAATTGTAAAACTAAAAAAAAAAAATTAGGAACATTAAGATTTGATTACAATTATAAAGCTAACTCATTCATATACTTGTTAAGTTTCCTGCAAGTCTTTTGAATGGCTCCAACAGCAAACTACGAGGCAGGAATTTAAGTGCATAGATCTTGTTTCAGATATGATTTCAAGAAAAACTGGCTTAAAGTGGGAAATGAGACAGACAAGAAAGGAAAGAAAAGTAAGCTCATTAAGCAAGTGACCACTGTGACCAACTGTAATCCTTCTGACAAACTCTGGAAGAACAGTATCTCTTCAAAAGAGTGCATAAGCATCATCCATTTGAGGGTCACTGGACTCACTAGTCCCAATTCATGAGGACTCAAAGGGCTCACTGAAAGACACTTTCTCACAGTTAGGGTTTACTGCAGAAAAATAATATAGAGTAAAAGTCGGCTGAGGGAAGGAACACAAAGGACAATGGGAGTCTAGGAAGGTAATAAGTGGGGAGCTTCCAGTTGTCTTATCTCCAGGAGTCAAAGGCAGCACTCTTCCTACACCAATGTGGACAATGTACAGAGTACTGCTAACCCAGGCAGCTCACCTGAGCAGTAGAGGACACAGCCTTCACTAGAGCTCCATAACACGGGCACCAGGGCTGCCAACATGGTGAGGTGACACTGCTTGATTCAAAAGCTTCCGCCTAAATGACAGTTACCATCTAACTTGACTCAAGTTTCCCAGGCAAATAAAGATTGATCAAGTATGACATTCCGAGAAGGCATGTCCAAAGTGGCCCACAAGCCACTGTCCTCTTTTAAGTGTTATAAAAACTATTATTTTAAAAAGTAACAAAACATATTTATATGTAGCCCAAAGCAGTTCCTATTCAGTCAGTGGAGCCCACGCAAGCCAAAGGCTGGACACCCACGGCAGAGATTATCGTTCCGAAACCAGGACCAGACCTCTTTTTGGACAGGACTAAAATTCTTTACTGTGCTGTAAATTACTGGGTAAGCTCTGAACATTTTTACCTTACTGAGCTTAACTGCTGGATTATGATATGTATGAAATAGAACTAGGTAGAAATTTTCACAATTAATGTGTTTTCAATATTACCAAACTTTGATTCATATTTGGAAAAAAAATCATTTGATATTTGAAACCAAACCAAGAGTCACCGCTCAGTCTTATTCCATATCATCAGTATGATTTCTCCCACACAGCAGTCTTCACTGCCATGAGAACATGCCATAATCATACACAATGCTGCTCAGGATGACCAATCCATGTCCAGTGGATAAGCATATTCCTCTCCATGACAGTAATTCTTTATGAAAAAGGGCAGCAAAAATAACTTCCTAAAAGTAGCTAAAAATCTGGAGACTATTATTTAAACATTAACGGTTGGTATTTCTAAATTGTTCTACTTCAAATCATCTACATACCACAAACTGATTGATTTGTTTGAATATAAAAGTGCAATGTGCAATCATTCTTTTCTTTAAAAGCACAGAAGCCTCTAAAAATATTATGTTTGATTGAGATACCAGAATGCCCTCTGCTGTGTACTTTATAGTACAGTCTTCAATTTACAATGGTCTGACCTTACCATGGTAATAAAGCAGCAAACAATTTGGAAGTCTTTTCCTGGTTTAGTCACATGCAATGCAATACTCCACAGTCTGGTCAGAGACAACAAACTACAACTCCCAAGTAACCATGCAATCATGAGGGTAAACAACAAATATGCCAGTGTGCTGTGGTACTAAACTACGATGTGTGGTAAGCTAAGCACTTTTTACATATAGTATATTCAACTTACAATCAGTTTATCTGGATGTAACCCCATCAGAAGTCGAGGACCATCTGTATATCCAAACAGGTGTAAATTTAGAGTGCACACATATTTTTAAATTTTATTAGTACAGTACATGTGTGAAGTATATTCACCTTAGGGAGTAGGTACATGTGCATATCATATCTTGATTCTTTTCTAATCCTCTTCCTCTACCCACCCACCTCTCTCCCTCTCCAAATCGACTTTCAGCATTTTTGTTATTTTTAGTTGATGTTCACCATGTATAATGCTTACATTCACTGTGGCTATTTGGTACATTTACGTGACACATCTTAAATCTTTTTACTTCCCGTCCCCCTCACCCTAGATCTCCTGGTCCCCTTCCAATTTGCAAAGATCTGCCTCCCTGTTTCCTTCCATCAATCCTTTATTTCTCTCTTTATGTATTTGTACTCTGCCTTACTCAAACGAGAGATAGCATATAGCATTCATGCAGCTGTGTCTAATTTATTTCACTTGATATTATATTTTCCAGGTGTATCCATTTTTCTGCAAATGTCTCAAATTCATCCTTCATTTTAGCCAAGTAGTATTGCATTATGTACAGACAGCACGGTTTCTTCATCCTAATCCAGCATTTTAAATGGGGTATAATATTAAAGAGAAATAAGGAGCTAACAAAGTTTTTATAATGAGGGCATAAAACACATTAGATATTAGTTAACATTTTCTACCTTAAAATTCTGGAAGAGAACTTTTTTTTTCCTGAAAGATGCAACTGCACTGCTTTAAAATAAATGCCACAAAGAATAAGGCAATTAAGAATATTTTAATCCATAAATAACAGCATATCATAATATAATGAATAATAAACATGAGAATATTTACAAGTATAATTTCTAAAAACTTGAAGTATAATTTTCTGAACACTTTAAATACACTAAAGCTTTTAAAGAAATGCCCATACAAAAATTAAATGCATAAATACTAAAATGTCTTACAAAGAACCATAAATATAAACCCTGAAAATTTAGCTGTATTTTCTCATTCCTTATTATACAATAAGAAATTCTTAGCATCTACTCTTGCTTGTCAAGTGAAATGCTACATCCTAGGCAGAGATTTTAGAATATTAGTTGTTCTTAAGGATATCCTGCCCTCCAGTGGTATCTACTGTAATGCTTTCAGTGTACCCTTCAACACTGCGAAGAGAAGACACATCCCTTCCACATGCACATTTCCAAAGTATATCACACTGTATGGCAGCATCTAATTTTTCTTCCATCACGGGTTCTCTGTCTGTTTGTACCCCTGTGTCACATTTTACAACCTGAAGAATGCAGTTACTAGCTTTGCTTTTCAATGCATGTGCTGAATCACACTGAGATTGTAGGAACTGATTGGTGTTATCTGAATACTGGTAAAATTTCTCATTTTGTTTGTGAAATTTGGCATTGCTGTTATCAATACTATTATCTGAAAGTTCTGCCATACTTTCTAGATAAAAATTATTATTTGTTCCTGTGGTTTTGGTGGATATCTCATTTGAGGCTTCACTTTGGTCTTGAGTCTTCAATATTTGTTCTTCATTTTCAGATGGCTAAAAGAAATTAATTTTACTGTAAATAATCTTATATTTTAAAGAATCAGTCACTTCAAAACAGACATCCTTAAAATCCACATTATAAGGAACTGCTAAATTTAGGAGAGACTTTGGCTGGTAATAAAGTATATGTACTATTAAAAAGTCTTCAATCTACCACTCATCTCAGCAGGTTATGAATTTCAAAATAGCAAGAACAATAATAATAATCTTCATAATAAAAATGCAAAAGAGCTATAAAAGAGAAGAGAAATCTTGTCTCTTCTTAGTACCTGCAATCATAGGCAGCATCATGGTACTAACCTTTCACAAAGAAATGCTGGCAACAAACACTTCAATCACTTAAAAAGAGTGGACACACATGTGTGTCCTATTTATTTCACTTAAGAGTATGGCCTCAATATGCATCCATTTAGCTATAAATGTCTCTAGCTTCTTGTTCTTTATGGCTGAGTAGTACTCCATTTTATAAAAAAACCACATCTTTATCCAGTTTCCAGTTGATGGGCACTTGGGCTGTTTCCAAGCTTTAGCTATTGTGAACTGTGCTGCTATAAACATGAGTGCAAATATATTGCTGTGGTATGATTCTTTTAATTCTTTTGGGAAGATACCCAGCAGGGGAATAGTGGGTCAAATGGGACCTCTAGTCCTAGTGCTTTGAGGTATCTCCATACTGATATCCACAGTGATTGCATGTGTAAATACTGAATAGTTTCTCTAGTGTGAGAAACTGAAAGTGTAAATAAGGATTAAAAGGATTAAAATGAATAACTGATAATTCGAAATAGGAAGAAAAGGACCAAAGGGGTAGGGGAAGTGGGAGGGGAAGGGGAAAGGGAAGAAGGGAAAGGAAAAATTATGAGAAAAGAAAAAAATGGAAACAAAGTCTATGTAAATAGGGAAGGGTAGAGGGGTGAAGGGTGTACAGGTAATGGGGAAAAAATAAGAACCAAGATACATCATGTACAGGTACAAACATCCAATGATAAATGTAAATGTGTTGTATACCTAAAATGTACCAATAAAAGAATTTAAGCAAAAAAAAAAAAAAGAGTGGATAGACGAAAGATCTCTGAAGGGAAACTAATACATGTGATTTTTATAATTCATTCACTCATTAAGTAAAAAATACCTATTATGTACCTTTTATGGGCCCATTCCATAAAGATACAGTATATCCTAAGGAAATAACATAAGAAGAGTATCAGCTAATAACTGATCTGAAAAAGACAGACAAACCAATAAAAGAATTTAAGCAAAAAAGAAAAAAATTTAAAAACTAAAAAAGACAACCTTGCCCTTTTAATAGGTCTAAATTTCAATTTGCTAAGGTGAATTTTTCATCTTCATGAAAATGTATCTTCTATTTAAGGGTTAGGGTTACTCACTGCTTTTTCTTTTCTCTTTTTTTTTTTTTGGTACCGGAGATCGAACTCAGGACCTTGAGCTTGCGAGGCAGGCGGTGGAACCACTGAGCTAAATCCCCGGCAAATGTATCTTCTATTAAGACTAATAAAAATGTTTGCAAAAATCGTATATTAGAAAGTATTGGCTATTTGAGCTAAAAAATGGGGGCGGGGGTTAATGTTAAAAAAAAAATAGAATGGGGTATAGGCCTTAGGTGATCAGCAATGAAATAGCAAAAGCCCAAGAAATAGCATTAAAAATGAACACAAATTACAGAAAGCAATAAACATTTAATAAATGGCATCTGAAATGTGAGTGAAACAAAAAGGTCACTGTTTTTGTGGACACACATAATGGGTAGAAATGAAGTCAGTCAAATGCTCTTACACATGAACATATAACTACAAACTGACAAAAACATTATGAAGAATAAATATGGGCCACTTTAAAAACAAAACTAAGGGGCCTAAATTGAGATTTACAGGGACTTCTGGAATAGGTGACATATTTAATCTAAGCTCTAAAGGATGAATAGGAGTAAGGTTGAGGAAACAATGTATAAAAACCCTGAAGCAGAAGAGAGACAAACTAAAGAAAATGAAAGGTCAAAGTGTGTGGACCAGGAGAAGGAGAATAGAAGAAATTGGAGATGTTAACCATGAGCAGATTACACAGGACCCAGCCACTGTCAAGAGTTCAGACAATGGAGTAAAACAGGAATTCGCTGGTGGGCACAGTGACCCATGCCTGTAATGCCAACCACTTGGGAGGGTACAGTTCAAAGCCAACCTAGGCTACTTAGTGAGACTCTGCCACAAAATAAAAGGGGCTGGGGATGTAGCTCAGTGTGAAAGTCCTCAGAGTGGGATGGAAAGATATGGGAGAAGGGTTCCACTGAATATTTATACATGGGAGTAACATGATTCAATTTATGTTTTCAAAGAAAATAGTGTCTACTAACTAAAGAAGAAAATGTGGCAAGAAAAGTAAAGAGATCTCCTGCAAAACAACCAAAACAGTTTAAGAACAAGATGACTGCAACTTAGAGAGGATACTTACTGATGCCAGAAGCTGCAATTTTAGAGGTAGAACTGAATGACAGATGAAGCGATAAATGTGGTTGAGGGAGGCAGATAAGACAAAGAAAGAAATGATGATGTTTACTATTTTACTAAGTTTTTGGCATGAATGCTTGGGTAGATAGATATGAGAAATATCATAAAAACTGATTTAGGGGAAAATGAGTATTCAGTTTGAAGTACGAAGAAATGAAGATATCTGTGAAACATCTAAGAAGATAGGTGCTATTGGAATTGAACACTGAGTGAGGATCAGGACTAAAATCATATTGCTAGGAATTGCTATCACAGATGATAAGCAAAGTCACTGGAGTGTAAAACATCACTACTGGTTTAGAGGATGCATTATCAGGAAAAGGTCCTGTTTCAAACCCTAAACACAGTTACACAATGGAAAGCCAGAGAGGAAGTGGGCAAAGGCATAAAGTAGCATTCACATGGGGATCCAGGGAAACCAAGACAGTGTGTAACCATAAAAACAAATAGACAAAAATGTTTCTAAAAATAGAATACTTTCTACTCATATTAGGAGTTCTTAGAAAGACTGAAAGGTATCTAGTGAATTTGCCAACACAGAAGTCATTGATGTCATTCATTGGCGAGAGTAATTTGGATAACAAAATAAAGATAAAAGGTAGAAGGAATGAAGACGGATGAGTAAAGAGAGGGAAATTCCATTTAAATCTGTAATTTATTAGAAACAGCATTCCTACTCAAAATACGTCATTCCAATTATTTGGAATTTGGTCTTCAATAACACTATATAGTTTTCTTCTCATATGCCTTGAGACTATTTGAATGTATTTTACTTTTCCAATTATTATAAGTCCTTTTAAAAAACTTTTACAAGGAATAGAGTTTCTACAATATATAGATGTAACTACTTACACTTTATATATTGTCCATGTTTATACACAAATGTGTACAGTATTCATACATATCTTGGTAAGACTTGAAAATGATTAATGCATTCATTTTCATCAATGTCAATAAGTAAGGTTCAGTCACATTTTTGTGTTTTTTTATGTTTTTACATTTTAAATTATGCTTTTGTATGATATTTAAAATTATTTCCATTATTGATTCAAATATTTTTCATACTGTAAAAGTAAACTATAATAAAAACAAATGATTCCAAAGTAATGCACACGTACTAATAAGTAAAAAAGCATAACTTACCATCTCAGAACTAGAACTGAAACAACTCTCTGTCGGCCTTGGAGAGTAACTGGTACACTGACTGCCCTGTGAAGAATCAAGATCTGAAAACAGGATTAATTCATGAAGAATGGCATTTATTAACACTCTACAAAACATACAGAGGCAGAACATATCTAGCTGTAAAAATATATTTAGCTAACAAAACAACACCATTTAAAAACATGCCAAAATTCACTAAAATTGGATACTTGGTACCTTGCATTTCTAACTTATATAGGGATTTATTTTACATTTCTAAGTAAAATGGATGTACACAAGAGGAGAAGAGCAGAATGGGGAAAACTGCATTGATTTTTCCAATATGTGAACCATTTTTATGAACAAATAATTTAAAGTGTCAACCTGCAGGAAAGAGGACAAAGCCTAGTTTATTGACTCCCAAGGCATCAGATGTTTGCTAATTGAGCAAATGATTCATTCTGCAATCAAAACTGTGTGAAAAAACTATTCAAACCATCCAATTCTATATCCTTTCATTACCTGCTTAACATGCCATCTTAAGAATTAAAAGTTTAAAACTGAACTGGAAAGTAGGCCATGACCCCCTACCATGTCTAGAAATTGTAGAGCTAACAGTAGGTAATGGAATGTACAGCAATACATTTCAAATCCTACACCTTCCTATGTGCAATAAGCCATAAATAAGTACTCTCTATCCACGCCTTGGGGCAGGATGAACACTCTGCAATAGGCTCTAACCTCTACCAGATGACAGGCAGAAAGGACTCAGCTGAACTCTGAAACTTATTTCATTATTTTAGAAAGAACTTTATTTTCACAGAACAAATTCCAACAACAGAAAACATTACCCAGAAAAGGGAAAGGGAAAATTTCACTACTAACAACCTAATCTAAGGACCTTTCCTGAAAAGGTGAATTGAGTCCGTAGTTACCATAAACCCAATCATCAGCAGCAAAGAATGAACATCCTACTTACCACAGACAGGAAAGGGTAGGCTGCTGAAAATGTAAATTCAATTCAACACTTACTGAGCAACTATGTAAGGCACTATGCTGGTTACTAGGGATATGTGGCCATAAGCCTCAAAGTGTTCCTGATGTAGTAGAGAATTTTTTTTTCAGAATAAGATATGATAACAGAAGTCAAAGAAGGTACAAAAAATAGTAAAGATCCAAGTGTGATGAGCTTTAGTTAAAAGAAATGTAAAGATTTACAGTAAAAACATGAATAAAGACAGGAGGTTTTGAATGGTGAACAAATATTTTCCAAGGAGACAAGACAAAAAACAGTACATGAGATGGATGGTAAAGTATCCAAGGACACACATAGATATTTTTAAGAGTTGGTCTCTGTGTGTGTGTGGCACTGGGGATTGAGCACAGGGATTTTGCACATAGCTACATCCCCCGATTTTTAATTTTTTTTTTAATTTTGAGACATCTCACTAAGTTGCTAAAATTTCCCAGTTGAGGCTCAAACTGAGTGATTCTCCTGCCTTATCTTTCCAGAGTGCTGAGATTACAGATGTGCACTACATGCCTGGGGGGAAGCTACATTTCAAGTTGTTCACTAAGACAACTAAGGGTGGAGTACTGAAAAGTGAGCCTAGACAGAAGCAAGTCATCAGATTAAGTGCATATTCTAGGTATGAAGTGATGAGGACCTGTAATGTAGCGGTGAAACAGGGATGGAAAAGAGGCAAGAGATTCAATATCTAAAAAGCTTTCAATGAGTCTCAATTTCTACAATCAGGTAGCTTTTTAATTTTTTTCTGACTGTGACATAACATCAATATCAAAATCTGATAAAGATTTCACCTACTCTATAGAGAAAAATCTTGTGAAAATCAATCCAAACATTTTACAATAAAAACTTAAAATAGAAAAAAATGTAAAACAAAGACTGCCATAATGCATTATGATTTGGTGGGATTTACTACAAGAATGCTAAGATCCAAACTATGAAATTCATTAGTCAGATTCACCTGTTTTAAAGACCTACATCACAATAGGATATCACTTCATGCCTCTCAGAATGGCCATGATCGGATTTCCAGGAAGATGGCAGAAACAGCCTCTCCAATATTTGGAATCCACACACTGGAATATAGCAGTGTGAGTAAGTGGAGGAGGAGGGAAGTGGGTCCCTGAGATTCAGCAAGGATCTGAAGTAAGAATGAGAGCCCACAGGGAGAGTGAAGAGAGGGACCATATTCCAGAAAAGGGAGGGGGCAAGTGACACTTTCTCTTTGAGCTCAGGCTTGCAGAGTGAGAGGGGTTGCTTGAATCTGCAGAGGTGGTGACTGGTGACCCCAGAGGTCTCCATGGAGAGAGGCACCAGTGGAACGGAGCAGGGCTACAGACTGGAATGGCTAGTGAATTCTTTGGGTTCAGATGTCCCCCGGGAGAGAGTGATTGGTTGGTAGCCATTTTGGAAAGGGCTGAAAGGCAGTCAGAACTCAGAACAGCTGCAGATTGGCTCCATCTAGCAACTTCAAGGGGCAGGGTGAGGTGCAGCTGACTTCAAGCTGGTAGGCTGTCAGGGAGCCAAGATAAAGCCATCAGGGAGCTGAGTTCAAGTCAGCAGGAAGCACTTGGAATGTTGTAGGCCAAAAAACTCAGTACCAGCCTCACAGCCAGAATCCAGAAACAGGCTGAACTCCAGCAGAACTAAAGGCTCAGGTTTCCTGGGATTACCCACCACCACAATTCTACTGCTGGTTTGCTGGGATCAATCACCATAGATCTGGGCTCTGTCTGTCCCCTCTGTCAACCAGTAAAAGCAGAAACATGCCCAGACACAGACTTTTTTTTTTTCTGCTTTTCTTCCTGTCTTTGCTTTTTAATTTTCTTTATTTTTTATTTTCTATTTTTCTTGATTGTTTTTGTTTAAGAGTGAGAACATTATTTCTAGTTTTGTTCTGTTCTTGTTTCTGTTTCTTCCTTCCTTCTTTCCATCATCTCTTCTTCACCAGTTCCCAAAGCTTGTGTAATCTTCCTTTGTCCTCCAGCCTTGCTTCTAATCCCTTTCTCTTCTTCTATTTCTCTGTTTTTCCCCTAACCCTTTTAAATTTTCTCCCTGGAGGATAAATCACATATTGAAAAAAATATGTACTGTACATAATTCTCTGATTTGTTTTTATAACTACAAATCATGCTAAAGGTTAAAGGTGGCAAATTAACAGTTACCACAGTTTGTCATTTTCTAGGATGTGTTTCATGCTATTTTTTATTACTGATTGTACTACTTTAGCCAAGGTGACATAATCGTTGTAATCAGTTGTTGTTCCTTGTATGCCAAGACTGAGATTGCCTGAGGGACATAAACAACATTATAGGCCAGTGCCAAAAAACCAGGGCTAAGCCAAATAGGCAGCAATTCTTCATCTCCAATAAACTGAAGAGGCAGGATCTTGCAACAGACTCAAAACTCAAAAGCCAGCTACAATGGGAAGACATCACTGAGAAATAGTCATTTCCTAAGGGTTCTTAATATTAGCAATAAAGATAACTACCATAAACAATTTACAAGCATCAATGAATGAATCAAATTTTTTAAAAAAACACCAGAAAATGAGAAGTCACAGAAGCAAGATGCAACCCCAGACTTCCTGCTTGCCAAAGACAAACTCAGGGTGCAAAAAGGTAGAACACTTTGAAAGCCACCCACCTAGATACTCTGAAGGAGTAACAGCAGAAGTCACACAGAAAATGAATGAGGCTCTAGAAAGAATCAAATCAGAAATAATTTCTCAGATAACTTCAGAAGATGACCGTAATGAAGGTCATGATTAGTGAATCTAGAGAAGATACAGATTTAAAAAATAGAAGAGCTAAGGAAAATGATGGAAACGTTGAATACCCAACAAAGGAAGGAACTGGAATCCATGCAACAGAGTCAATCACGTACCCAGGAGATTAAAAATTCTGTTGAAAGTTTACAGGATAGAACCAATGTGAGGACAGACTATCAGATCCAGAAGACAAGATTGTGGTTAGCAATTATGAAAAGAAGGATGTCTTAAAAACAGCAAGGGACCTCAAAAAATCAATCCAACAACTAATAGATGATGGAAAGAAGAACAACATCAGATTGTTCAGTCAACAAAAAAGCAGGAGCTAGCACAAATGACATGAAAGACCTGTTCACAAAAGTAATGGCAGAAAACATCCCAAACATGAAAAACAAATTGGACATTCAGATAAGCCAGGCATATAGAACTTCAATTAGCCATGATAAAAAAAAAATCTATCCCAAGGCATATAATAGTCAGGATTCTAGAAATTCAACACAAAAACACAATATTTAAAGCTGTTAAGAGTAAAGAAACAAACTGCTTATAAAGGAAAGCCCATCAGAATTACAGCAGACTTCTCAACACAAACCTTAACTTAAGGAGAACTTGAAGTATTTCAAGCCTGAAAAGAAAACAACCTCCAACCTAGATTGATGCACCCCACAAAAATATCTTTTAAAATTGATGGAGAAATAAGATACTTCCACGACAAAGAACACCTGAAGAAATTCATGACAACCAAACCACCACTCCAAAATGTTCTGAAGGACATTCTAGAAAGAGATAACAAAGAGATAAACCCCAACACAATAAATCCACCAGACAAGGCAAGTAACTAAACAGATGGGAAAGAAAGGGAACCAACAACAGGAAAATAATATGACAAGGAAAGTCAATACATATCAGTTGTACCATCAATGTAAATGGTCTCAATTCACCAATCAAAAGAAACAGACTGGCAGAACGGATCAAGAAACAAGATCCAAAAATATGCTGCATACAAGAAACACATTTAACTCAAAAAAATTCACAGACTGAGAGGGGATTCACAGACTTGGTGAGGGATTTAGCTCAGTGGTGCCACCACCTCCCTCACAACTGCAAGGCCCCGAGTTCAATCCCTGGTACAAAAAAAAACAACAAAAAACTCCATGTGACAGGAACCTGGAAAAAAAGTAGAGATAGCTATTCTATTTGCAGAAAAAATGGATTTCAAGCCAAAACTCATCAAGAAAGTCAAAGAAGGTTCCTACATCCTAATTAAGGGAACAATCCAAGGATAA